ATGTACCTTGTGTTAGATAAAACTAATATATATTTTACAAATTATGACTTCGTATGAAATGCGAAGCAACCTTATCTGAGACCAAATAAGTTCAGCAAATTATAATTTTTTGTGATAGCTCTAAGCTTTTTTTAATATTTGATTATTATCCAATTTCTTAATTAAAATTTATTTTGTATAAGAAATGAGGTTATATAATATAATTTGAACAGAAGGAAATGTACCCGATTCAAACTGTGAGAAATTATATTTGTAGCATTAGTGGTTAAGTGATCTATCATTGAGAAATGATTTTTTTATGTACTGTATACCAGGTGTGGGATTAAGTTTAGATCAGGTATATTTCTACCTGTTTGCAATTTGCGCAAACCATCTTTTATAAGGTATATGTTTACGAGCCTGTATCATTTCACTGACAATTTTCTTAACAAGCCACCTTATTGATATCATATGACAATTACAAATTACCGTAAATATGCTAAACTAATAATATGCTAAATTGTTACCTTAAATAACCACTAATAAGGTGATTACCTCAATCTTTACTTACAATAAACTTTTCCAATCTTCATTTCATTCTGTTTTCAGTGTATGCAATTCCATTTGAAGCAGGGTTAAGAAGAATATAATTTTAAATTATTTGTAAATTTTTAGGTTGCAAAACTAAAATATTAAAATTTTCTTGTTTTATCAATAGCTATTATTAAAAATAAAAAATACTCAAGGCACAGCACTATCTAACATTAGAAAGGCAACATTTCATGTATTTGGTGCGGAAAAGTTGCTATTACTAAAAAGTAATTCTTCTATCACCGATATTGTCACATGGAAGATCAACCCAAAAATATCTGAGTATTTTAATTCACTTTTCCGATGTAATGATGATAGAGTATACTGGATCACCGTTATTGCACGGTGTGAATTCAATGAAGTATCAGTTACTAATTTTACAAATTCATACTATGTATTCACTCTTGCAGTTTGTGACATAAATATATATCTAATGCCAACATGTGTGTTGGCAAAAGAAAAACACATATTTAAATATAGCCTATGTATAAATATGTATATTTTCTTTTGCCAGCACTCCTATATCAGTAATCACATGACATATGTCAATTACGAATTTTACGAACTGTGGTTAATCTATAGTACAATGTAAATTTTTAACGATTTAGGAATTTTGGTATTATACATACTTTAAAACCTTTACCTTTCAACTTATATAGTTAATACTTTGAAATTATGATCGTTAACTTTGTAGAGATTGTCACGAAGAATAAAGTTTTTGGATGCCTTATAGTTGAAAGGTTTCTATTCGTTTGATCATGTAATTACTTGGTATCATAAGGGATGTTAATTTTATAAATAAAAATTAAATTTGCAAAGAATTTTTTATTTTGTAGAACTCAATAAGATTCACAAATAAAACCAAATTAGATAACTAGATGGTTTGCAAGTTTAATTTTATTCACAAAATTAACATAGTCTTGAAGGGTTATTTTTTTTTCAATATTTATTTTTTGTATATTATAATTATTAATACATAATAAATATATACCAAACTAAACCACTCACAATAAAAATGGTTATAGAATTGAATAGGACTGAGGTCAACAAAGAGATCATGATGTTTTTCTTCTAAGTATGTCTTTAATGTGTTCTTTAAAACATCTTGTATTGGATAGAGGGTTTCTGGAAAAAGATGTTTTATAACTTCTCCAAAAATATGCTATTTAAAATAAGCTAAATAAACGGTATACTTCTATTTCCAAATAGCAGAAAAAAATATACTTATGTCCATTGATTGAGCCAAGAGCTCATTATCTTGCTCAATTTTTTGTTTTTTAAGTTCACTTTTAACTTCATCTAAGTCTTCATTAAGCTTTAATAGCAACAAATATAATTGTTTGTTCTGTTGAAATAATCATTCGTCAACTTGACGATGATATTTTAAAAAAAATTTCAATTAATATTGCTATAAAAAACTTTAACGATATTTATTGATACTAGCCAAAATTAAAATTTCAGTATGTTAAATAACATGATATAAATATACACAATGTGTATTTGAATTATGCTACATATTCAATATACTAAAATTTTAATTATAACCAATGTGATTAACATCTTATATAGCTAAATTGGATATCTTGGCTTGGGACACTTGGGATGTTCTGGTTTGCTGTTGTTTTGAAGAACTAATAAGGCTTTGTGTATGGGACCTACTATTTTCTTGTTGGTGAGAAAGAGACTTATGACTCTTGTTATTACTTTTTTGTAGAGATGAAGTCTTGCGCCACTTTTCTTTATAGGAACCATTATTATATATTTCTTCTTGAGGGGAATAATTGCTAGAGCTACTAGTACATTCTTCATGTTGGGAGGAATTGGAATAAGATCTACTATATTTCTTGAAAGAATAGGATTTAGAATGATTTTTGGAAGAATTAGAGCGAGATTTGTACTTTTTATGCTTTTTTAACGAATAATTGCTAGAACCACTAGCATCGTTCTCTTGTTCAGGAAAATCTGAATGAAAATACAATATACAGAAACAAATTTTGTAAATTTGACATATCAAAGAAAAAATAAAAATTGATTTCTTGATCTGCAATTACAAAATTTTGCAAACCGCAATAAAACAATTACTTTAATTACCCATTTTTTCAAAAAGTCTTGATTAATTGAAAGTTTTTTAAAGAATCTTTGTTAAATATTTAATCCAAGTTTTTAAAAAATCTGCAAATAAGAAACAAGTGGTTTTAATAGTAAAGAGTTGCATAAAGATAAAAATAATACACATATACATATCTTAAAATTTCAATAATATAATTCTTGAATTTTGTGAATCCTAGAAAACCACATACATATTGCTATTGTCTTCCTGATAGCAAAATGTAGGATTCATAAAACAAAATTCAATAATCATCACACTAATTATTTTTGAATCGTTTCAAGCCTATTTTGGATAAAGTCTAAATATAAGATGTGCCATTTGTTTCAATTGTAAAGAATTGGGAAGATATTTATATAGTATCTAATATTGAAAGTAAATTACGTGTTATTATCTAACCTCTACTATGTAGTTAGAATTAAAAAATTAATTTTGCCAATTTTTACCAATTTCATCATTAAGATGAGACTATTTTATTACTTTAATTTTATTTCAAAGACAACTTTATTAAAACCTATTTTCAAGATATTTTACACAACTATCAGGTTAAACAATACTGCATATTGATATTTAGTAAAAAAATCTAGTCGATTACGTATATGTTTAATGATCACTCACTTATTTGTTTATACGTAGAAAAATGATAATAACAACATATTTGGCAATAGTAAAAATAGTGTTTTTCTTTTATATTTCTTATTTATTATTGCATAATTACTTATACTAGAAATAATCAAAAATTTTCCTTAAATGAGTCGATGCTTTTGCAAGTATACGTATATGGCAGTAATTACATTTCTCTATTTGTAATTATATACAGTATATAATAATATAAAGAATTAAATATTCTCTTGTATAATTTGATTGAAGTTTAGATTATATTCAATCATACCTGAATTAAAAAAATCTTTGTTAATATTCTGTTTTGTGATATATTTTATTTTAGACATAGTGTTTCATATTAAACACTTGTTGGTAAGGAAAGATTATAAAAGCAGCTCAACAGAACAAACGAAATAACCATAAATCTAAAAATAATTTACAACTAATTTATATTAACAGTATTTTATTAAATTGTTTTTTTTATACAAAATATATTCAATATGAGCTAGCAATGCTGTTTTTGTAACAAACGATTTTCTAAACCTTATTCTTTGTTACAACACATATCTCAAAAATATTCTAAAATATCTGAAAATACATTCACGTTAAAATCAACTCGGCCATTGTATATTTTTGATGATACTATTTAGAACATGCCAAAAGATCCTAATGATGATACTGTTTGGAATATGCCAAAAGATTCTAATGATGATACTTTTTGAAATATGCCAAAATATCCTAATGATGATCTATAGGTAACTAATGTTCAAAGTTTTTATCGTATTGTCTCAAAATAATACCCTGGGCATTATTTGAAATATATTGCTTGAAGAGAGCTAATAAATAACTTAGCCAAAGACTTTTAATAGCAAAAAAATTATAATTCGTATTTTGTTAAATTAATTATTAACTCTTTTCAAGCAATGTGTCACAATGCTCTGAGACGTTATGTGACGATACAGTAATATAAAATGTTAACAGAAATACACCACAATTTTTAATTATGTTTTTAAATTTAGAACCAAGAAATATCACAAACAATGGAACCAGATCTTTTCGATCCTAAACTTTCTTTGGATCAATCAGATTATTCTAAAGAAGCTTTTCTTTCATTCTCTTCTCAACCTATTGAAAGTGATGAATTAAAATTTGAGAATATGCCAATTGGTGATAAAGACTCTAAGGGAGCATCATTTGAAGATGCTTACTATGATTTGCATAATTCGGAAAAAGTATAATGGCCTAATAATGCTTACTGAGAATTTATAGAGATTACTACTAAATATCAGCTTTCAGATAGGGTAGCCAATGCTTTTATACGCTTTTTAATAAATTTTATAATTTGAAAAAATCACCTTTGCCTTTATCAATACGTACTGGAAAAGAATTTTTGAATAACACAAATATTACATATACGATATTTAAGGAAATTTTAATCACAATCTTCCAAGATATTAAATATATACTTTATTATCAGCCAATAATTCAGGCTATTAAATCATTATTAGTAGTTGATAGTATTAATTGAGATTTGGTATTAAACTATGCAAAAAATATTGAAACAAGAAATGATAGAAAATATCAAATATTTAAAGAATAGTATAATTGTGATTGGTGGAAGCGAGAAGAATTAAAACTATTTGTTGGCCAACATCTACTTTCGATAATTCTCTATTCTGATACTACGACTTTAGATCATATAGGAAAATCTTTCAGATACCCAATATTTCTATCTCTTGGCAATATTTCAAACCTTCAGAGAAATAAACCAGAATCAAAGGCATTAATTAGATATTTACTAATATTAAAAACCAAAGATTCAAAAATCAAAGAATCTGAAGGTTTTAGATAAGCACAAAGACTTGTTTTTCAGCGGTGCCTATCGATTCTTTTAAATCTTATAATTGATGGTCAGAACTTCAGTTTGTAGTTTGACAAGACATAATTATATTTATTCTATGAATTTTAATAATCTTAGCTGATATGCTTGAGACTAATATAATTACGAACATTTATCGATCATATTCAATACAAAGACCATATAATACTTGTCTGGTATCAAAGGATGATCTGAATAATATAAATTTAGATCCAAATAAAATTATGCTAAGAAATCATCAGAATATGAGACAAGCAATCGAGGCCAAACAGGCTAAAGAAAATTCAATTCATAATGAACAAAATACATTCGGGCAAATAAGGTATAAATTAAAAATTTTAATATTAATTGTTACAAAATATGCAAAAAAGTAAAATTGGTTCTTGTTACTCGACTCAGGTGACTTTTTATAAAAATTAAAATTTTTTCAATATTAGCACATATAATTTTTTTTTATTCTTCATATTTTTTTGTATCCTATTTGTTTGTTTTATATAATGAGAACCAATTAATTTAATTTGCATGACCTGACAATATTCTAATATATAACTAACAATATTCTAATTAATTAGAGATTTCAATATTTATCAAGCAGCAGTGCTAGATCGAATGCATACATTAGATCTTAGTTTGTTTAAGTACATGCTAATCTTTACAAAAAAACTTTTAACTAAATAGTGTGGAAACAAGACTGTTCAAATCTTTGAACAACGCTTTACAGAGATTCCTAGATTTTATAGACTCAAGATAATGAAACATAGATGTGATATGAAACATATGACTGCTGATAACTTGCGAAATATCATGAAGGTTATTATTTTTGTTCTTGATAACCTTTATAGCACAAACAAAAAAAACGGTCATCAGTAATAAACATTTGTGTAAAATATTTTGCAAGTTTTTTAAAATGTATTTGGCTACTCGTGAAGACTTCTTTACAAATGAATCTTGTTCTGAACTTCAGGTATAATAAAAATTAAAGCTTATTCAGTTTCACATATTTTAAACTCTTTTTATTTTATTATTATTATTAGATTGGGTGGAAGATTTTGTTGATATATTTGCTCTCTATTCTCAAAGTAATATACGACTACCAAAACTCTATATATGGTGCTATCATGTAATACCTGCAATAAAAAAATATAGTTTAATAAATAGTTTTTCAACAGAAACTTATGAGACTTTACATAAATATTATGTAAAGAATCCTTATTGTATGACTAATAAAAAAAAATTTATGAAGCAGATTATTAAGACAGTTATTATTTATTAAATTAAATCAATTTAGTCACTTATCTTCAAGAGTTAACAATAATCACGCTTAATATTTGCATTTTAAATCAAATGACAAAAATTAACAGAGAAGAAGACAACCAGTAAAAATCGAAAAACAGAAGAATACAAAAACTTTTTATAGAAATTTAACTTAATAGACATGGATGACTTCATTAAAAATAATAGTAGGGAATTACATTACCTTCAAATTGATGAACTTGAATATTTGTTAAGTAGTTTTGATGAATTTTTTAAGGAATATTTTAGAAACAAATCAGCTTTTTTAAGCAGTGATCGAATTGAATTATATTCTTCTATTTCCGTCGAAAGCACAGATATTATGTATGCTACAAAAAGTTTTTATAGAGAACCGATGTTTTCAAACGTGTCAGTAAGTGGTATGAAAGAAAAAAATGAAATGATTTGGTATGGTCAGGTAATAATAAATTTTAATGTATATTATGCTAGATATATTAAATGAGGCAAACTTATCTAATTAAAATTGGTTTAAAAATAAGACTTTATTACTTTTTAAGTACTACAGAATCGGAATAAAAGAACTGATTAACCTTGTTCTAATTCATTGGTATGATACATTTGAAGAAAAAAATTATAGGAATGTTTAAGAGTAAAATTAATTAACTATTATAGTTGTATACCAGTAGAAAGTATAGATAAAACAATTCATGTAGTTCCAAGATTTGGTAAAATGAATGAATATCTAATAAATAGCTATATTTTTTAAACAATTTATAATTTTACATATACTGTACAAACAAATGTTATACAAATAAAAATATTCACTATATAAATAGCAAATGTAGATCCAAAGCAGATTTAAACACAAAAATATTATTATTTACCCATTTGGACCATCGTTATTGGTCACTAAAAAAATTTTTCAGTATATTGTTATTGATCTATTAATTAAAAAAAAAAAGAAAATTTATTATTCTATAGTTATATAATATTGTCATATGAGTTTTTTGATTGATATCTTAAGGTAAAAATTTAATGCTATTTAGCAAATTAGCTATTTGTTTATCTTATTTTTTTCAATTCAGTATTATCATCTAAGTAAATATTTTTCTCAAAATAAGCACTCGTCTTCAATAGTTTTTTTAGAAAAAAAGATCAAATGCACTTTGTATAGTTGCTTTAGATGAAGTTGACGATTTCTTTACTCTTTTAAATTATTTATAATTAATATTTTGCTGATTCAAAATTATTA